GTGCCACTCAACAGGAAAGTATCCACGACGGTTGCCACCTGCCCAAGATGCACTATGAGCAGGCTCAGCCACACTGGGTGGATTTATGAATTTGCATTTATACATACATGATCTTCCCCCACTGGCTGACAACCCCTTCACAGTTGTCATTGCAGGCCTGCTTTCCAGACCTGTAGCTTTGGGCTCACCAGCTAGTACACACAGGCAGCTGCGGTGCTCTGCTCAATGCCGGTTTGTGCAACCCCAGACTCTGCTTCCATCTCGGCCCTCTAGCCCTGAGCAGGCCCTGCAGGCCCTAGGTGATGCTGGGCTGTGGGATGGTGCCAGGCATGGAGGAAGGGGGCCCACAGGATGGCCTGCATCTCATGGCTTTGTTACAAATCATACCTGCTGTGTGACTCCTGTGACGAAGCTTTCCTTCTGGGAGGAGGGTCCTTGTGAACCATGGGGAGTAAGATCAGCAAGAGCAGACCAGGAGCTCAGAATAGGTCCCTGCTACAAGGGGAGCTTCTGCGCATGGTCCGGGCAGCTGAGGACAGCTTGACAGGCCCCTCCCTTCAGTCCAGGGGCAGGGTAAGGCCTTCCAAGGAACTCTACAGACTTTTGGATCTGATTTCCCTGGGGAGGGAGAGAAGTGGGCAGGACGCCAGGCTCCTGCTGGGAGGAGCTGGAGCTGAGATCTCTTGCTTTCCCCCAAATGGCAGCCCCCGGGCAGCAGCTCCCTCCACCCACACGGCAACGAAAGCCTGGGTCCGGGTTGGGCTGGGAGCAAACCCTCAATTATCCCAGCACACATCTGCAGAACCTGCTCAACTGGAAACAGGGCTCAGCTATTTCTAACTCTGTCTCAGACCCTTCCTGCTGGAAAAATCATTTCTGGGAAAATAAAATAAATGAGAGGGGCCAGGGGCCTATGGTTTGGTGCGACACTTCCTGTGCCTGGTCTAAGAGCCGCCACACTGCTCTGTGTATACCAGCACTTGGTGGGGGTAGGGTAGGGGGGAGGCCTTGGGACCGAGGTCAGTCTGCCCTCTGTCTGGTCCTTATTTACCCTATATTTTTGGTATGGGGAACTGGACCCAGGAGCTCTCTACCTCCGAGATAACATCCCACTTGTTCCTTTCATTTTATTTTTAAGACACATAAGTTGCCCAGGCTGGCTTTGAACTTGCAATCCTCTTGCCTTAACTTTATGAGTAGCTGCACTAAAGTCACGGGCCTATCTTTCCACTTGCTGGCCTGTCTGCCCTTTTGTCCAGCAGATCCTACAAGCACCTCTCCATATCTGGGTCTTGACTGGCAAACAAAGGCTGCCATTAATGGCACCAGCAGGGCCCCTCTCACCACTGGACTTAGTATTCCAGAGGGTGTGGTATGGCCAAAGACGACACACAGGTGGGGCATAACCAGCTCTGTGCCCTGGTTAGACTTCCTGCTGGAAGGCTTGATGGCCCAAACTGTCTTCCCCACACCTGAGTAGGAGGATTGCCAAAGGCTGCCAGACTGAGGCTCTGAGCAGGATCAGAGAGGCCTCAGCCCACAGAGAAGGCCTGGTCCCAGGGAGGCTTTGAAGGGACAAACACAGGCCATCTGGAAGTCTACAGAGGCATGGTGCTTCAGGCCTCTCCCAGAAGCCCTGAGTTGTCTGTCAGGGAAGGAAGAGGGGTCAGGAGCCCACAGTGTGCAGACCCAGCCTCCTCCTCCACAAGCCCCTCCTGCCAGGTCCACTGGGGGCAAGACCAGGAGAACTGCTATGAGGCTCTGCAGGGTTGGAGGGGCAGGCAGGACCCAGGTGTCAGCAGAGACTGCACAGGGGTAGGAAGCATCTGTGGGCTGGGGCTGAGCAGGTTAATGGGATCCCACCAATGACATGAACATTCACAGGGTCTCATAGGGCTGGGCTTACAGTGAGCACCTCATAAGCACCATCTCCCAYAAGGATCCAAGTCTGAGCTTGTAATTATACCTTTGGCAGATGAGACAACTGGGATCAGAGAAGGTAGGTCACTGGTTAGCCTTGGCCACATTATAGAACATTCTGAGATCGAAGATGCTTCCAGAATGTAGTTTCCACAACTGGACAGGTGTGCWAAGGTGAAGAAAAGTGGCACGGGATGGGTGCAGGGGAGTGGCAGAAGGGCAGGCTGAGGCCAGACAGCAGCAGGTTAATGCAAGGGGATGAAGCTGTGGAGGAAAACGGAGCAGGAGCCCAAAAGAGGGGAAGAAATGCCTCCCTGCCAGCGGCCTCACCCCAACTGAAGCAAGTGCCTCACCCCAACTGCAGCAAGTGAGGTAGACCACGTGGGCCTGGGCAGACATGAGGTGGGGGGCCCATCTGGCTGCTCCTCATGGATGCCTCAGACCTCACAGTGGGGAGGCAGCTGTCCTATGAATCAAAAAGGGCACAGGAATAGTCAGCTCGGTGGAGGCACAAGGGGCTATGCAGCCCCCACTTCCCTGAGAAAAGTCACCACATCGATCTCTTTACCCATGATCACGGACCCAGCCCAGCACGGGGAAACATGACCCTCACTAGGCCAGCAACACACGACCTTCACCAGGCCAGATGGCGACACATGGCCCTGACCACRCCAGCATGCAACAAAGTGCCTCACCAGGCCCTCACCATCTCTTGGAACTTGTGTACATTCTGCAATGATTTTGGTGTCAGGCCCTGGGAAGACCCACAGTTGCCATATAGTTCTGCCCCACAAATGGGGTCAGCTGTGGGCCTGGCCCTGCACTGCCTATGGGCCATCTTGGTACTGAGGTGCTGGGCTCTGCTGAACCTGGGTAGGGCCGGGGCTCCCAGAAGAGGATGCTTCTAGTCTCAAGCCACCAGGAGGGGGAGGTAGCCAGTGGCATACCCCATGGGGCCTCCTCTGCCCTCCAGCCATGGTGAGGGAGCTGCCTGTGGCCAGCAGGGGCTGGAGTCTGCTCCCACCCTCAAGGTAAGCAGTCATTTGCTTCCCCATCAGCTGGGGCTGCACAGGCACTCCTAGGCAGAGATCCTAAATGACCTGGGTGGGAAGAGGCAAGACAAGGAGGTACCAGGGCCTCAGCCGCCAACATGGGACCGCAGTGTATCAGTACAGTGGGGATAGCAGGGATAGGTAGGGTTGGAGGGTGCTCCCACCCTCCCTTGTGTGTGTCCTGTGGAGACTGAGGCCACCAGCTGGTCAGGGTGTAGTGGGCCTGGAGGGAAAGAGGAGTCTGGGAGGAGCAGAACGAGCTGTAACAGGGTGAAGGGTCAGCACTCACGTGCTCACTCCTATGACAGCACCAAGATGCTAATGGCTGCCCTTTGGAGGCAGGAGTCTGAGTAGATTGTGCTTTTCTGGATTTTCTACAATCTATAAATATGAGATACTCTGGAATGTTTCCCAAGGTCTTCCTGGAAGTAGCTTTCCTAAGATCACAATCACTTCAGTCAAAGAATATCAAGAATTCAATGAAAACTATTCCTCGTAATTTATAAATGTTGGTAAGTGATATGTTAAATAGTGGCTGTTCATAAGCACATCTTTATTTACCCAATCTTTTTAAAAGAGCACAAATTTCTACAATGCATTAAATTAAACACCCATCAGTGATCCTGAGTTATTCAAAAGTACACAGGATTATACAAAAGCAAAGACGTACGTTTCTGATGGCTTATTTATCTAAAGACTTTGAGTGTCTGAATATTTATTTACTTACTCAAAGGTTTGAGAGTTTCAAGATGTATAAAAATGGATGAACATGATCTGAGAAGCCTAGCAGATTTAGAAGGCACACTGTGAAACCCGGGGACAGTGGGCACCAGGCTGGGTTGTGGTTCTGGCCACAGGGGTGGGAGCAATGCACAGAGGGGCAGCTGAAGGACAGCGGGGGTAAGGAATGAGAGCTCCAGCCTAAAGAGGAAGACAGGGAAGCTAGAAATACTCAAGCTATACTGGGGACAGGTTTTGAATAAAAATGAAAGTTAGTTCCTGCTTCTATAGAAGAGCAGAGCTAGGCCAGCTGCTGGAGGCTCGACGGCCCAGCCACACCTCAGTGGAGCCCGACCTCCTGCAGCCGTGCCTGGTCGACCTTCCTGAAACAGCTGGCAAGGCAGCAGCCTCTCCATGAACAGGGGTTGGGTTGTCAGGCCAATGACAGACCAGCCTTCATCAAGCCAGGTTTCCAGCTGCCTGAGGTTGCACGGGGCCACCACCCTAAGGTCACCCCCACTTCTGCTGTTAGAACTGCTTCCCTGAGCACCCCTCATCCTCAGGCTCATGTCAGTCCAGAAATCTAGAAGTCCCAGCCACAAAACACATACAATTCCACCATGTCACACTGCTCCCATGGCAGGAGGGGGTCCCACCCTGTAACAGGCCAGCACTGTGCACAGCACTCACACAAAYAAGTACTTGGCCCAATGCCTGACCCCTCTGCTTATAGAGACCAACCCCGCCATTTGGGACCTCAGCCCTGGCTTCTCTGGCCAGCTGCAGAAGTTGGTCCCTTTGGCCTGATTCCTGACCAGCATGTAGGCACCGTCACATTTTCCTTTCTTCTCTTGAGGTCCACACTCCACACTGACCTCTGGCTGAGGTCTGGCAGCTCTAAAGGTGCCAGCTTGCCCACAATCACATGAATCCTCTGAGATGCTATTGTATATTATGAGTCTGGGTAAACTCATGCGTCTTGGGGCCCCCAACCCACAGGGTGAAGCCCAGGTGGAAACTCAGAGGGTTGACACAAAGAAAGGAAGGGGCAAAGTCCAAAGGAAGGGGCTGAAGAGTCATGTGGAGGTGGCCTAGGGCCAATAAACCCAAGGCTGAACAGAAATGGCCAGCATGTCCCCTCCTGCCTTATAACCCATGCTGTGGTGAAACAAGACGCAGCAGCTTACAGGTGCTGTCCATCAAGCGCTAACGGTTTGATTTCCCTCCCAATGAGAAGGGAGGGCAGGCCCGTGGCTGTGGCAGTGCGAGCTGGTGGATGACGGGCGCTGTTGCAGAGCAGAGGCCTACCTTGAAGATGAGGCAGTCTGTCTTGTGTTCCGCATACTGGGAGGTGAGTCGGTACTGACTCTCTGTGGTGACATCTATCTGGTAGCCCGTCAGCGTGTAGCAGACCTTGCGGAACTCCTGGATCTTGGTCTGGAAAACCTCCTTGAGCCGCTGGTTCTTCAGCTCGGCGCTCTCCACCTGTTTCCGCAGCTCTACAGGGAGAGGAAAGGAGAGTGTGAGCTCACCACGGGCTGGAGATGTGACCCAGAGAAAGGCAGGAACAGGGACAGCCAGGCGCAAGGATGAGCCTCATCCCCACCCAGGTCTCAGCTGTYTGGGGATGGCTGTGGCAGCACCACGTAAGCCAGCCTCATCTGTGTGCTCAGAAGAATCCGAATGAGAAAGGCAGATGATGATGCGCAGTCTGACCAAGTGGCATTCAGATAGTTACCACATTACCTCCAGCCCCTCTAAAGAAACTGTGGCTCTGAAGCCAGAAACTGGAGCCACACATCCAGACAGAATGACAATGGGTAACTCCTACAGCCACCCCAAGTCACCATTAGGATTGGCAGTGACTTTTGGGTACACTTGCTTCATTTCACCAGCAGATTCCAGGTGAGAATGTTCTGGAAGAGGAAGCATTAAGAGTCTAGGTCTGAATGGAAGGCCTGGATCCATGATGCACCTCAGGCGATGCTGACATTGCGAGGCTGCAGCCTGAGTCCCTGGGGGCCTGTACGCCTGCCCCACAAGAGTTAGCACAAAAGTCAGGGGGCACGTGGCAGGGCAGTCACGTGGAGGTTCTGGATCATTTCACCCCAGGGTCCCCCTCCACAGTGGGCTCCATGGCTTAGCTATGGGAGGATAGCCAGCCCTGCCCAGGGATCCCACCCACGATGTGGCTCCGTATAGACCATCTGGGCAGAACCCCCACCTCCCACTGTGGTTTACTGCCGCCTGGGAAAAAACAGGCTGTGCGAAGCCACCAGCACAATGCACAATTGCCATGAATCTCTCACCCAAGGTGCCTTCCGAGTAATTAAGCCTTGATTTATCCCTGTTAATTATTGAGCCTGGCTCCACTTAAACATGCCTGGAGTTGCCTCCAGAGCTGGCACTTTTGGTGGTCCTGTCTAGGAAGTCCTGCAGGGCCTGGGATCCCTGGGAGGGGGTGGCTCCACTGGAATTCTGGAGAAACTCCAGGTCCCAGAGTCAGCGAGACCCAGCTAAGCCCTCCTTTCCCCTGCCCATGGTATCAGCTGAGGCCAGCCTCCCTTTGCTGGGACAGGCCTGAGGGTCCCTCCTCAGGCTGCATTAAGGCACAGGGCAGCTAGCACCCCAGCTGCTGTGGGAGAGGAAGTTAACATTAGCTGCACTGCACAGCCAGAGGCAGAGGGGATTCTCAGAGGAGGAGCCCTACCCTAGCCAGTGCCTAGGGAAAGGCCCTGAATCAGGATGAGCCTGAAGAGCACAGGCTCCATCAACCCATGCTCAGCACGGGGTCCTGCAGCCCCTCCCTGGAAATGTGAGAGAAAGGGTACAAGTCCTAGCACCTGCCTACCTGCTCAGAGTCAAAAGAAGCATGAGTCCATGTCCCACAGCACTACAGGCCCAGGCCATGGCTTAAGGTGCCACGTGAAGGGGACGGAGCAGCCTGCCTCCTAGGAGAGGCAAGTAGAAAGCAAGTGTACCCAAAAGTCACTGCCAAGCCCTTGAGTGACAGACCAAGGAAAATGGGAATGTAGGGAGGGTTGGGCTTCCATCCTGGCTCTGCCATCTCCATGCCCTACGCCATCTCAGTGACAGGTATGTATCTGCTCTTAGCTGTCTCTTGAGCATCTAGCCAGGTCACATGCTGGAGGTGGGCTGGCATTGACAGTGCAGGACTTGCAGGCATCTGCACTAATGGTATACGCTGCCCTCTCAATGTCATACCCACAAACTCATTTGCCACATGGTTATGATGTAGGAACTTAGTTTCACAAATTAAGAAACTGAGGCTCAAAGAGCTTCACCACCCGGCTGCACATACGGGGGCTCAGCAGGGCTGTTGCTGCCTTTGCTGGCTCTCACATTCTGGAACGCACAGCTTGCTATGAAACCCACTCCCTAAGAGAGGCGCCATGGTACCAGGAGCTGGGTAAGATGCATGCAGCATGACAAAACCCAGCCTGTCCACCTGTGGGGCTGTGGCCATCTGCCCACTGGCCCTGCCCTGGCTGCTCCTCCATTCATCATCTGGTGCACAGGCCTTGGCGGACACCGGTATCTGCAGCCAAGAGCCCCTCCAACAGGAAGAGGCCCAGAGCCCTTGATTAATCGAGTGATCAGACTATGAAATCAAAAGGTTAATTGGCAGCTCTGACCCCAATATTCTTCCCCATGTCCCTCAGCCAAACCTCCCTAGGGTGGAGCTGACAGCAGGAGGGAAGCTTATACAGGAAGAAAAGCTCCCTGCCCATGCTGCCTGGACAATATTTCAGTCCTGTCAGGGACCACACCACCTTTAATCTATCTCAGACATCCAATGGGAGAAAYTAATCCTAGTAATAAACGCACCTGACCTTGGAGAAGAAAATAGCCCCCTTTGGTGCAGTCCACAACCCTGGAAGCAGCCTGGGCTCAGATCTGCACGAGGCCCATCCATACTTATGGCTGGTCAATGTGTGTCCCAGGAGGAAGGAGGTGAGCCAGGAGAGGAGGAGCACACTCCAGGCACTGGCCACACACCAGGCACCTGTGGTCTGTGGCCACAAAAAAGGCAGGACTGTCACCCTGGCCAGTTATAGGGGAAGCCAAATTCTCCATATACAAGGGGCCTGACCCACCCTGCCAGGCCCAGTGGGGAGAGGTGCAGCTTTGAGGTGAGGCCCACCCCAGCTGGCAGGTCCAGAGAGGGAAACCTGTGACTGATTGCTCCATTTAGAGCACTGCAAAGTCAGTATTTTGACCTCCCTGTTATTCTTGTAGTTCAATGGCTTACATAAACACAAATGAATAATTCACACAATGGTCTGGATTAGATAAATAAAAGATGGGTCTCCACCTTGGAAACGTCACTGCTTTCTTGCCAGTGGCTCTCATGAAGGCTCTTTCAGAAACACTGGGAGTGAGGCTTCCTCTGGGCTGGGCTTCATGGACCCTGGACACAGGTGCTGAACAGGCTCCTCCCAAGTCCAGAAGCCAGGAGGCCAGAGGCCCCAGTCCATGGTGACCCCACCCCCAGAGTGCAATGACAACATATGCACGCCTGCCGGGCTGGAAGTGTAGCCCAGGGGGCCTGATCAGGGTCTGCTAAAAGCCAGACTGYCCTGACCTGGTGACCTCAGGCCTCACCTCTGGATTTGTGTGCACCACAGCCACCTGCTGTGCTGGGACCAAAGTACAGAGACACCTGGGACTAAGACCCTGGGCACTGACAGCCTTATTGTGGGGAGCCCCTTTCCTCCCAGGCTCAAGTTCACATTCCATGAAGAAGCTGCTGAGGCCCTGAGTCAGGCCACTCTCCCACTCCATTGCTAACCTTTCCTGCCCTCAAATCCTAAGCTGTAGCCACACTATGACCAGGTGATACTGCTATGAATGCCATCCTCCCCCTGCCCTGGCTGCTGTTCCCCATGTTTCTGTGCCTAGCACCTTAGGCTCCAGATACCAGACACCTTCCAGATACCCACCAGCCTCCCAAGCAGGCTGCCCACTCCCTCCCCCTACTGCACTTTGCAGGGACAGGCCTAACTGAGGGGCTCACAGCATGTCCTGGTGAGAACAGCAGAGGAATGAGTGTGGCAGGTGACAAGTAGGGCCTGAAGAAAGGGATGCAACTGTTCATCCAGAGTCCAGAGTCAGACAGCAGGGTGGCAGTGGCTGTGCAGACCAGGATGAGCTGCCACAGGGGCTCTGGGGCATGCCAGGCCTGGCTCTGAGTCCTGCCCTCTGCTCCTTGTCCCCTTGTGCAAGCTCAGCCTGAGTCTGCTGGCTGTCCCTAGCTGTATCCAGAGAGGCTGCAGGACAGCTCTGACCTGCCCCCTCTCCATCTTAGCCCAACACCTGGCCCCTCCTGGAATTGCAGAAGATAGCTGTGAAACTTTAGTGGGAAGGACACAGGACAAAAATAACCTGCACTCTGTCAGATAAAGGCTAGCAGGGAAGAGTGCTCCTGCCCGAGAGCGGAGATGTCGGGATAAAGGAGCAGTTATGGTCTCCAATCTCTGGAGACCCAGCTCACTGCCTGAAATGTGGAGAATGTCTGATGCTAGTGGAGCAGGTGGCCAGTGTGAGGGGGGTGGGTGCAGAGACACAGCAGAGGTGAGTCCAGACAGAAGACGGCCACGGGGCTCGTGGCCATCAACATCCTCATGTCATCTGCTGCACAGGACAGGAGTCAGAAGCGGTGGGAGACAGGTGTGCTATCCTTCGCCTTCACACTTGCCTGCACCCACTGTGGCCCTGGGCTTTACCGGCCTGGCACCTCTGGCTCCTATGAAGCCCAAGGGCTGCTGAGGATCCCACAGATAACACAGATGCAAAGATTCTTTTGAAGATGGAAATGGTTCTATGGAGACTCTCCAGGGACCACCTGTCCACTTCCCTCCCTTCCAGGGGTCCCAGACAGGAAGACCAAGTTGACCACAGCCAAATGGACAAGCTAGGGGTGTGGAGTGTTGGGTGATGGTGGCATGCTGCCCCTGGATCCAGGCTGCAGCCTTGTTGATTGCTCTGCAGTGCCACCCTGCTATGAGCCGGCCAGGTGCTGTTCTTGAGGTGCCCTCTGTAAAGGGAGGCCTCCAGCACTGCAGCCCTATGTGTTTTACGACCCCCACCAGGGCCTGAAGGAATGCACCCACCTGTGGGGCTGGCCCTACTCACGTCTGCACTCCAGGAGGATTCTGGACAGAACCCTGCAGAATGCAAAGATCCCACACAATGCTGCTTCTATGGGCAGAGCCCATCCCCGAGGTGGTCACTGAGCTCTGAGCAGGCTCTTCACAGTTGGCCCTTGCGGTTAGGCCAGGCCCTGGTTCTCCGGGTCCACAACCCTCCCTCACATCCACATGCATCTCACAGGGTGCGTGAAGACCCCAGTTGTCTGGACAAAATTTTCACATGCCTGGAGAATGCTCCCCTTTCCCTGGTGAATTCTTACACCTTCCAGCTTTCAAATCGCTTTGGTCCCTCAGTGTGTGCCTACAGTATTTGTTTCATTTCCTTC